TCTTCAACGTCGTAAATTATCATCAAATAATTTAAAAGAATTACCAGAAAATTTTCTCAAAAATTCAATTAATTCATTAATATCAATTGATTTACAAAGAAATTTATTTCAATCAATACCAAATTTATTTGGTCAAAATTTTATTTCATCAAAATTAACAGATTTTGATCTTAGTTCAAATCATATATGTACATTAAATAAAAATGATTTATATAGATATGAAAATTTAAAAACTATTGGTCTTACTGGTAATCCATTACATTGTAATTGTCATTTACGTTGGCTTAAACAGTGGTTAATTAAAAATTATGATTATGATTTAATTAAATTTCTTCAATGGACATGTGCAACACCTATGAAACTTATTGGAAAACAATTAACAATTATTGATGAACAAGATATGATTTGTTTAGAAAATGATTATTCGCAATGTCAACCTAGTCAAAATTCATCTATTATTAAGTAAGTTTTTATTAACAATACGAATTCTAAATAATACATTCTACATATGTACAGAATTGAATGTTACAGAAAATCAGAATAAGATTTTACTTTAAATGAAAGATTTTTTTTTTTTTCCAAGAAAATTCAAAATCTCGATTATATTTTATTTCTAATCACAGAACATAAATTTTCTCATTATACATTGATTGCGTGTCACATTTTATTCCCATTAGAATTCATTTTTGAAGGCTATTTCATTTTTTCTATTATATAGATCAACAAGTACACAATTAACAACTATTAAAAGTACAAGTACATCAACAATAATTGATGAATTAATAATAAATGATATATCATATAATCCAAATGGTATGTTAACTATAACATGGGATTATATGTTATCAACATTACCAAGATATTTTCATTTACAAATTTATGATGATATAAATCGTGATGTTATATTACAACGTTTTATTGAAGGTGATCAACGTTCAATTGAAATTAATATAAAAGATTATTTAAATGAATCTTCAACAATTTATATGATTTGTCTTAATATTCGACAAAATAAATATTGTCGAAATATTCAATTCCAACAAATAAAATCATCATCACTTATTTTATCATCAAATAAACATGACAATTATCAATCATTACAATATATTTATCTTCTTAGTGGAATATTTCTTGGAGCTATATTTGTTTCTATTCTGCTTATTATTGTTTGTTGTTGGCGTATACGTCATATATCAAAAGATAAACTATCAAATTCTATTGAAAAAATACCAACAAATACATTATATCATCCACCACCTCGTTCTTCTATATTTTATCGTCCGTTAAATATTATAAGTTATCCACAACAACAACAACAACAACAACATAGTTGTGATACAAGTGAATGTTCAATACATTCATCAACTGATACAAGTCAATTGGCAAATGATTCTTATCATGTATATCAACAAATTCCATCTGTATATAATTGTCAAATACATCCAACTAGGACACATATTCTAGTATGAAAACGAAAAACTAAAAGAAGAATTTTATTTATATCTATTTTTTGCTTGGGTACAATAATTATTCGTTTTTTTTTCTTTTCTTTTTTGCTTTGTTGAACAAGTCAATATGTATGTATGCGTGTGTGTTTTTATAGTAATAATAATAATAAAAGAATTCTTTTTTCATGTGAAAAGAACATGAATTATAAACGGAAATCCTTTGACGCATACATCAATGTTTTAATTTACTGTTCCAAGGTTTTATGTTAATTTATTAAACAAAAGAATACATATCTCCTCATATTTCATGCTATAGTGACCATCGTTTTTCTAGCATATATAATTATGTCAAATTTCTTTTAATTTTTTTATCTATAGATTACGTTAAGAAAATCGTTGAGTGTCTATTAGCAAACATATTAAATGCCATTGACCTTTTTTTTTTTCTAATATGCATATATATCTATATATGTATAGATAAAGTAGAACGAAGCTTTAGGGCGATTTATTGTTGTCTGAAATTAACGATTTCCGTGCGCGCGTGCGCATACATGTGCGTGTTTGTCAATGTCTTGTTTTTGCTATTTCCTTTTTGTTCAATCTCCTCCTTCTTCTCGTTTAGTATATACACGCCCCGATCACAATTAGAAGCACATCTGTTGAATAAACAGGCGACGATTGAAAAACCTCGAAGAATTTATATAAACATGCAAAGAATTGATAATAGAAAAAAAGCTCAAGGCTATTTGTGCATTACTTCTTTTTTTTTTATAACATATATAACATTAGTAAAAAAACAACAATGTATTCAAATGTTTTAAATATTTGACAATATGTCTCTGTTATTTATCAGTTCTTTGTTTTTTTCTTGTTTCTTCGAAGAACAAAAAACTTGTTATAAATGGTCTCTGGTCTATTTCAATTTGATCGATATATATATCGATCAATTGTTTGACAACAAACATAAATGAAAAAAAAAAGATTAGAAACAAAAAGCTAAGCTATTTCATATATATATACATATAGCTATATATACATACCATCAAACGATATTTTGTCGTTTCGTCTGTCATACAGGTGTGAACAGCTCATTAGTATTTTTGTCTACTGCTGTTCATTCAAGTGACAACAGGCTATATTCTATTGAAATAGTTTTTGTCAAGGAAGTAGATTTTCAATGACTACACTTATGGAATAACAAGGCAATTAAAATAGAAAAAAGAAAAAGAAAAACACATCTCTCTTCCGAGTAGTTCACTTAAGGACATGTATAGACAATAACAGAACATATTCCCAGTGTGAATAAACTTCTTGTTTTTTCAATGCTTTTGTTTGATGTTATTCTAAGTGAATTTGCTAATACTGCCTGTGGTCAATCATCAACTACTAGTCATATAAAACGAAAAAATAAAAAACAGAAATTGAATGAATAAATGCATTTCTTATTGCACCTGAATACAAAGAACATAAAAAAGAAAACCAATTCGGCTCATCTTCTCGTTTGTTGTTCATATGCGCATGTTATAAACGAGTTCAATGAGTAATGACGCGTATATTTAAATCCAAAATTGAAATAAGACATTCTCTGTCAATTTTATTTTTATATGTTTGTTACACATGATTGAACGTGTTTCATTTTGTTTTATAAATATCATCAAAATAAACTCAGTCAAATGACAATAAAAACTAATCGAGCGACATTTTTGCACGACTTCAATAGAAAGAATTATTTCAAAAAACAAGAAAGAAAGAAAAGAATGCTTCCTTGTTATTAAAAGATTAAAAGAGATGATTGTTATGATTGACAGACAACTACATGTATTCTTTTCAATAAATCGATCAATCGATCGGCAATGGAAAATGATGCTTTTCTTATATGTCTGTCTATCTATCTATCTGTCTGTCTGTCTGTCTGTTGTCATCAATTACATTTCCTGTGGTGATCAATGAAGAACATTGAATGCCTACTGTGTTTAAGCAGACAAAAGTATGACAGTCGTGTTTTTACAGTTTTACTCTCATTTACAATAAAAACAAATATGTTCTATATTTATCTGTGTCTTTCTTTTTTTACATTTACATAGATTATCTTTCTTCTTCTTTTTTCACATGTCGATCAACTATTATACTTCCAGCTGAGATCAAATGATGTACATGTTTTAACGTTAGAAAAATAAAATCTTTAACCATTTTGTTATTGTTACACTATTCTGATATCAAATATCAATTTCATTGAAATGGAATAGCCTTAAGGTGTAATGATGCCGTTATATATATATGTATATGTATTCATTTTTGGAATGTTGTCTATCAAGAGGATAAGAATGCATATGTGTTGATGTATATGTCAGATTATCGTTATGGATTGTTGATTTAGTAGAATAATTTTGATTAAAAAAAAATAATAATAATATTCCATATGTATAGATTCAAGTTAGGAAGATCAAAGTTAGAAAATAAAGTGATTAAGAGGAGTCATTGAAAATGATATTTTATTGATTAGTATGTTGAAAATGAAACTAGTAATTAAGTTGTCAAAATGTTCATTTGTCATTCATGTGATAAAATAAATGATGGGCTATTTAAGTTAAATTGTTATATTTTTAAGGAAATTTTTTTTTTTATTTTCAATAAGACTTAGGAACAGTCAAAGTGATTAAGACGTAAATATACAAAATGTATTCGAAGTTTTTCAATATAATCTACGAGATTTCATACGTTAAAATGACGCTACAGCTTATAAATATTCTTATTTGTAATCAGAATAATAAAATAATACCAATTATAAATACGTACCATTCATTACTTATATATTTCCATGAAATTTAGTCTTGACCTAGAGGGAAATGACATATCAATATTTGTCTCCTTCTGACTTAATAGCTATGTTTAGTGTAATGTTGAATGACAACTGAAAAGAGCGTCACATACTGACACATATAAAGTTTGTCGGAAATGTGTTATCACGTAAATATTAAGAATTTATCGGATTAAGTGTGACCAACACCTTTCGTCTTATCAAAGATTACACGATAGAGTTGAGTTGTAATTATATATTCAAAATAAAAAAAGAAGCGTTCAATGTATAACTTAACTAATTCAAAAAAGAAAAGAAATACATAAGATAGTTATGAAAGTCAAGAGAGTATTCTGCAGTTACACGCAAATATATTGTTCAATATCTTACTCGAATGTTTTTGTAGAAGACATATTCATTCATATGAATCGACACATGGATACCAAGCCGAAGTTTTGTAATAATTGATTCAGTTGCTACTGCATTGAAAATTTCATTAAACTGAATAATTCAATGTGAAAATTTTTATATCTTTGTGTACAGTCTCAATTAGAAATAATATAATCTACGAATAGCAAATAGACATGAAGTTATATGAAAAGATTTGCACTAGTCAATTTGAACAATTAGCATTCGTCTTAATGGAAGATACTTTGTCTTGCTTTCTACGCAGAATTATGAACTTATTTTTTTTAATAAATAAATAAACGTTATAGACATTCTCTTGCACAAAGAATGATGATAATAAGGTTTGTACGACTAGTAAATGTGCTTTTGTTTAGTTATATTTTCAATTCTGTACTCTTGGCTTTTGAAACAAGTATGTATGCCATTCGAGTACTCTGAAATTGGCAACTCTGCATACAAGACAGCAAGATCTTTCAAGAAGCTTATGATATGACTTAGCACAAGATGTTTGAGACTATGAATTTTTGCACGATTTTCGGTTGATCTTACAAAAGCAAAAATACGATCTTACCATTTTATTATTTGATCAGAGTAAGTATAGAATATAAAATTTTGTTATTGCTATGTTAATATAGAAGAGCATGCATATCAGATGACTTATCAGGAATAAAATAATACTTTTGAATGATGAAAAATAATTTTTAATGACTGATAATTTCGTTTAGATTTATTCAAAGTAATTATTTTATTTAAAAAAAAAACAAGAAAATTTAAAAAAATTCGTTCTTTTTTTGTTTAATGTTTAGT